ATAAGATGGAACATAACTTTTAATTATCAGACACTCAATAAATATTAGCAAAATTTAATGGTATTTTAAAAGGCAAGGGTGATAACTGTATTAAATAGCAGGCCAATTTTCAACTCAACTATTTTAATTTTCATCCCCCCCATCCTAAATAAAACCAATTTTATGAAATTTACTTACACAATGATGTTATTAATAGGAATATGGATCAATTTCACAAAGAAGCCAATGAATCCCATTATAGCAAATCCTATCGCCGTTGCCATGGCAATCTTTTGAAATTCTGCATTTCAAAACACAAAATTCACATTAGTGTTTGTAATAACAGTGCCATAAAATTACCAGTATGCCTTTTCTTCCGATGGGTAGATATGTAATTTTACATAAATAAGAGCAGTAGAAGCAAACTACTTCTTGGACAAGTTTCTTAGTTTCCATATTTTGCTGATATTTAATCACAACTAAAGTAAGGTTTACACAAGTGGATCTATTAACCAACAGTGAATATATTTTATCTTCTTAGCAATTAATCAAAATATCAAAGAGAAATGGGAATAGATAGGAGAATGCGTAATTTTTAAGTTTATAACATTACTATAAAAATTAGAAAAGCAGAATCAAGACTTTTTTTCTACATACAATGGGTTCACTAACTTCAACATTATGACAAAGTGAAAGATAAAGCTTGAAAAATGAAAGAAGACTGAATCACATTTCATAAAATTGGCAATGTCTCAGTTTCATGTGACTTCCAGGAAGATTTCCCTAACATCCAGAGTAGATTCATACTCTTATTATGTACTCTCAAGCGGTTTTCCTACTCTTTCAAAATATTTACCACAGCAGAGAATAAAATTTCTAATTGGAATGAGGGGACTTTGAAAAGTTCATCAAAAGGCTGTATCATCTTTTAATTGTATCTTTCCATGAACTTTCCAAGGCTCCCACAGTTTTGTTCCCTCTTTAAGACTCGCAGTTCTATGACCAGAACTATCTTATTTCTTATATTTTCTCAGCTCCCAACCTAGGTAGCATTCAATGAGTCAGTGAGTGTAGACAAATGCTGGTAAACTTAAACACATGAATTATTAACTATACGGTTTCATGTCACAATTTTGTTCATTTGAAGGGATAAGAGAGCAGAGCAAAGAGGACTGAAAATTTAAGAATTCCAGAAAAAAATTGTGAAAGGGGCAAAAGCACAAGAAAGGAACCCTGGTAGTGAGTTATGTAATAGGCTGCTAACCCCAAGCTCAGCAGCTTGCATCCACCAGTAGCTCCACAGGAGAGAGAGGGGGTTTCCCATGCTTGGAAATCCAAAGGGTCAGTTTTACTTTGTCCTGTAAGTTCCCTATCAATCACAATCAACTTGATGGCAGTTGGGTTTACTTGGGTTAAAGCACTTTGACACACTATAGAATGGCAAAGACAAATATTACATGGAAAATGAAACTGTAACAAATATTCCTATTTAAAAACATGTAACACAGGAAAACTTAAGGCAACAAAGTGTACAAAATTTAAATCAATAAAATGTTGATAAAAGTAATGCAACAATTGTTTGTTACAATGATGTAAATCAAAGACTTAGAAATGAAAGGTATTTTTCTCTGATTTTAAAGCCAGTACCTTTTCTATCAGGTTTGGTGCATCTCTTAACCAGCCGAATGGAGTCCTTCACGAACTGCCGACTGGGCTCGACAAACTGCAGTACCTGATCCATGCCTGGTTCTATAAAAAAAAGGGGGAGAGGAGAAAGATTAAAAACCAAGTATAATGAGGACTTCCTAACTTAGCTATATTGAGATGTAAATGAGACCCACCATGAATTCATGCCCAACAAGAGTCAATTCCATTGCATTGATTAAAACAAAACAATACTCATGTTTAAATTGACATTGTTTCATATTTCATCTAATCATATCAAAGGCAACTTGAGACTCTACAGGTTTTTACTACTGTGTCATCAGTGTTAGCTTGATCTAGGATTACAATGAGGAACACATAGTTTCAATGAGCTTTACCGATGTATTAAGAGGTTAAACAAAGGAAGGCATATCTATTCCTTCCCACTCTAAAGTCTCATTTTTCCTGTGAAAAAAACACAGTGGTATCCAATAAATTTTCATTTCATTTTAAACTCTCCAGAAATAAGTGGCTAATGTAGTAAATGACAACCATGGTGCTGAAAAATTCTAGTTGTTGATAGGTGCCTTTGAGTCGGGACCCCAAGGACAACATAAGAAAATTGCCTGGTCCTGAGCTATCCTCACAATTGAACCCAGCTGTAAGCACTGTGCCAATCCTACAGTCAGGGTAAATGGGGGTTTTCAATCTAACGGTTTATAAACACATCAGTAAGACATTTGAGAGATTTTGTGTGTATACATAAGTATCAAAACCACAACTGGGCTAAGCCAAATTTCAATTATGTGAGTGACATGCTAAATTCCATGCAAATCCCCAGGATGAGGCATTCTTTTTGTGAAAATAAGACTATTTTATGAGGTTGATACCCAGTAGAAATCGGTTATCCAATAGAAAGAAAAATGAGAGCTAATGAGAGCAGATGGCTAGTGCATTACCTGTTGGCTGCCCACCTTGTGACTGGAGCCCACCTGCGGCTCTGCGGGAGGAAGAAGAGGGCTTCTCCCTTAAAGAGTTACAGTAGTGGAACCCCACAGGGGCAGACCCTCTCCTACAGGGTCACTACGAGTTGACTCAATGGCTGAGTTTGGCTTGATTATCCCTCAACAAAACAAAAGCCCCCCCCAAATTTTCCATTGAGACAATTCTGACTTATAGCGACCCATGAGCGATAGGTCAGGGTAGAACTTCCCCAGGGAGTTTCCTAGGCTGTGAATATTTACTGGAACTGAAACCCTCATCTTTTTCCCAGAGCGGCTAGGGCCAGCCGCTGAACATAAGGTTAAGAGCCCAATGCGTACTCCGTTTTGCCACCAGGACTCACTATCCGCAGCCAATAAGAATTATATCCTTACCTGGTGTGGGCAATGGTGAAATCAAAGGAATAACCTATAGTAAGCTCTTAAATCGTGGGAGAAAGACTGGGCTTTCTATTCCCATCAGCTGGTACAGTCGGAAACTCAGAGGCAGTTTGATACTATCCTAGTGGGTCACTGTGAGTCGGCATCGACTCCATGACAGTGAGCGAGAAGCTCTAAAAATACTAGGAATTCTATGAGCCTCTCAGGGTATGTACGTTGGGGTGTCCCTATCAAATAAGAAAACAGCGCTCGCTACACCTGTTTTCTGATTAGAGGTAATTAAGTCCTCCACTTACAGCGGTTCCATTCCAATAAGAATACTTTCTTGTCCCTTGTTTTCATTTTTTTTTCAGTATCTCTATAAATTCTATCTTAATTTGTTTAGGGGTTGGAGACATTACATACAAAGTATAAGTATATTTTAACATTGGAAGTAGTACTACTAATACGTATCAACTTTTTTTAAGACGGCTGTTAAAGGCAGGCAGTTGATTAGTCTAATTACAATCCAGCACTACCTGTCATACAGGTGAAATCACTTTATGCTTCAACTCCAATGGGCTTACACTATACGTAACCATAGGTGTCATGATGAAAGCTACAGACCTTTTCTCCAGGCAAAAGGCGCATACCCAGAGCATTGCAACTCCAAGTTAGACGAGGGGACCCAATTACCCACCATCACTTCTCGATCTGGAAGCTAGTGGCAAACTCCTTTCTACCCTGGTAGTGGTCTGGGAGAGCTGACAGGCCTCGCACACCTCCCTTCCCCTAAAGGCAATCTCTAAGGGGCACCAACGGCAGGCGATCCCCTAACAACAGCGACAGGACGCTGGGCGCCCTCAAGAAGGTGGGAGTTCACACAGGGTGTGGCAAAGGGTACGCAACGAAAGCCAAACTTTGGGCCAGGCCCCTAAGGGTGTTAGAATCGACGGCCGTCAAAATCCCTCTCGCTCTTACTTCAGGAGTTCGTGGCCCCGGCGCCTTGGTTCCATCATCAGGCCGAGCGGGTGTTCGGGGCACGGACCGGACACTAATCTCAGCACGGACCACCGGGCCCTCACCGCCCGCCCCGCGAGCGCCTTCCGAATAAAACAGCCCACCCGCTCCCTTCGCGAGTCAAAAAAGACCGGCGACCCCGGTCCATCCTACGCCGCGCAGCAGGAGGACCCTCACCTGTAGCACCGCCACGCAGGAAGCCAGGGACACGTAGCACAGCGGCTTACTGACAGACGCCCACCGGAACCGGAAACCCGGTCTCCGGCCGATAGCCCGCCCACCCCCTCCGTCTATTGGCCCTTTACAGGGAGAGTGCAGTGAGCAGGCGCAGAGTGACGTGTGCTTCCCTCCCACCAACCGGAAGACCCGCCCTTGCGAGGCGGGGTGAAAGGTTTCCAGGCGTGGCTCTCTTTGCTTTCTGTTGTGTCTTCTCTTTTATAGAAACCTTATAACCCCAACACATGTACTGTAATAAACCTCTTGAGTTGAAACAAACCACTATACCAAATCCTTATGTCCTTTGATGTTTGGATGATTACATACTTCTGTATCCACAATCATTGTTTCAAGCTTTCTAGAACTTTCCCCTAGAATTCAGAGTTTATGGTTAGAGATCATGGAAATGCCATGTGTTGTAGTCATACCATGGTATACGACAAAGAGGTAAGAGAGCTAGACTAATGTAAAACTATTTTGTTAATTGGTAAAATAGATTGATAAGAATGCAAGCACTAAAATAATTGCAAAGATGTAGCTGAAATGCCAGCTCTGTATTAGAATAGTAAAATGAAATAAGTACTTAAAAGAAGGCATGAAAGGGATATCGGAAAAAACAAGAGTCAAAACAGTAAAATAGTATAACAATCTAACAATACTTATCATTTCACTACATCTAAATGGGTTACCCAAACACCAAAGGTAGTTAATTCCAACTCATATTGACCTTATAAGCAAGAGTAGAACTGACCCATAGAGTTTCCAAGGCTACAAATCTTAACAAAAGAAACTTTCACATCTTTTGTTAGCAGCTGAGTGCTTTTAACCATGGCACCACCAGCGGTCCTGCGTACTTGAAGTAAACCTCTTTTAAACATTGATAAGTCAAAGAGGATTAAAAAAAAAGTGAGATTCAACTCTATCTTGATTGCAAGAGATTCACTTGTAAAATAGCAAGGTTGTAAGTAAATGGAAATGCAAACCAAAAGACTGTTCGAATATGTTATTAGGGTTTATGGATACCAGAAAATATCAGACCAAGGAAACTTTAAACGAGGGAGTTGCTGGAAGCATTTCATAGGATAAAAGGTGAATTTCACAGGAAAGCATATCAACCAAAATTTTCTGTTTCTACTAAAAAGCCTCAAAATTCATGACAAAAAATTAACAAGATAAATAGGAAAATCTATAAACAAGTAAATTTTAATAAAGCACTTTAGGGAACCTATGGAATTAGACAAAGAGGAAGAAAAAGAATCAATGAAGGAATAAAAGATCTGTCGTTGAGTGAATGAATTGTGTCTCCCCTCTCCCCACCAAATATAAATATCAACTTGGTTGGCCCATCATTCTCTAGTTTGGCAGTTAATATAATAATGTAATATGGGAGTTAGCTATTGATTCCCAATTATGTGATGTGATGTGTACAGCTAATAAAGAGACTACGGTTGGAGTGCAACATCCTTTTTATTTTCAATTGTGAATTGAATGAACATTTGCAGACCAGGTGATCAGTTTTATATTCAATTAGTCATGCACATTCTGTTTCATCTCATTCGTCACAATCCCTCAGTGCAACACTGCCCATCCTACCTCCTCCTGTGTTTCCTGTCTCAATTTCTACTTCTTGTCAAACCCTTCTAAACTTTATTCTTGGGTAAATGCTGCCCCTTGATCCCAAATGGTCAATTATGCTAAGGTTTTCATATATCAGCAGGGTTAATATTACCCTTATAAAGACTCTATATTTTGATTCAAATTTGAGCCATGCTCAGTGACCAAGGACTATAGTCTTGGAGTTCTACCAATTTCTATCCAACCAGCAATACTTGTCTTCTTGGTTTTGAGTTATTTGTTCTTCATCCCCACCCCTCCCTTCTGCCCCCACCCCTACCCCTTCCCTTCTACCCCTACCCTTACCCCCTCCCTCTACCCAGGACTTTCTAAGGTGATTATTTCAGAGCAGTTGATAGTAGTATCAGGGCATCATCTTGTTCTGGTCTCAGGGTCCTGGAGATGGATGGTTCATAATTCCATTCTACTGGTGGATTTGTTATTCATTGGTCTGATTATTTATATGTTTCTTTCTATTTTTATCAGTCTTCTTCCTCCAGACATGGAGAGATCAATATCTGAACCATCAATGGCTACTCAAGAGCTTTGAAGACCCTAGCCACTACTCACCAAATCAGAATGTAGACTTGGTGAACTATGTTATTCCAATTGGCCTAGATGTCCCCCCAAGGCCATGATCCTGAGACCCCAAGCCCACCACCTCATTCCCCCAAGGGGCTTGGATATGTTCAAGAACTTTTCATAACTTTGTCCCCTGTATGGTCCACCACATCTATGGATATAGCTGCAGCAAAGGTAAAAACCTATTACAAATATCCTATGTCAAATATATGTTTGTGTATGTATGTGATATATATATACACACATATATGTTATATTCTGTATGGGAAGTATGTTCTCACTCTTCTTTCCATAGCATTGATCCCACATGTCTATACACACATCTATTTATAAGTAGCTCCCTGTTATTTCATAATTGTGCTTATTTTGGTTGCTTTCAATTCTTGTACTCCTTTTAGTGTCTTAATACACCTCCATCATTCTTTGCAAAGCTCCCTCTTATTGTATATTGCCCTCCCTTTCACTCTCCAAGATCTGGGAATCTACTAAACTTCCAATGCATTTGGAAGATCTATAACTACACTATGTTCTCTATTTACTTTGTATCGCTTCATTGCAAATATATATCTGTCTCATTTTCCAGTATTGTAGGTTTGTTTCATGTTGCACACTTCTATATCAGGGTTGACCTGTGATGGTCTTATCATGTATGTTAATCCCAGGTTGTTGTTGGCCACCGTTGATTCTCTATCCAAAGAACTCAGAATCACTAGTTTGGTCTTCTAATAATTCAATGGCACCTCTGCACTCTTTCAATGCATTGCATATTTATAAAATCTTAGTGTTAATCTTCTGGACTTCTATTTGTGGTTTTTGTATACTTTCTAGTTTTTCATTTATTTTGTCACTTTGTTATTGTAGTATTTTCTGGAATTCTGGGTTTTTTTTCTTTTTCACTTGCTTTTGTCCGCTGTGTTCTCAATCTTTATCTCATTTGTTGAATGAGTAGGGTGGTCATGCTTCTGTGCCCTTCATCAGATGTTCCAAAGCCATTTCTTCCTCAGACAAAGATCTTCTGGCTCTCTGTTTTGGTCACTTGTTTGTGCCACTGTGCCCTGTTTGTTGTGTGAAATGCAATTGTTTTTCTCTCTGAAACATTGAAATACTGTTACATCTGTATTCAATTGATGATTACGCATTCGTGTATTCTTTGGCATATACGGTAATGAATGTGATAGAGAATGTAAGTATGTACACTTATTTCTGTTTCTTGTTTGTATAGCACAGTTGAAGGTAAGTTTGGATGACATCGATGGCTGTCAATGTTTTATAATGATCAAGTGGTAGAGGATTGGGTAGTAGGAGATCTGAGTATAGCTGGGCCTTGTGGTTATGGTTGTTTTCTCCCATCAGATGTTACAAGAGCAAGAGAAGAGTAACAAAGAGCAGAAAAAGATAATAATAAAGTGGATGGTGGTAAAGTAGACAAACAACAGCAAGGAAATAAAAAAGAAAAAGGGATAAGAGAGAAAAAATCAAATAATAAAACTATTATTGTTGTATTGAAGAAAGGGAGGAAAATTTCAAGAAAAACTGGGGTGAAAGTAGAAAAAAACAGAAAAGCAAAGAGAGAAAACATAAGAAGCAAGGGAAGAGGAAGAAAAGCAAAAAAAAAAAAAACCACCAACAAAGGAAATAAGGAGGGTAGGTTGTCCAGTACCCTCTGACCTGGCACTGCATGTTATCCAAGTCTGAATGAAGCTATCCAGGTGCCTCCAGAAGCAGGTGTGATGCACCCAGTACCTAATCACGAGGCCTCAGGCAGCACAGGGTTGTGTAAGAAGGAGAGAAGTCACCAGCTGCTTGGAAAGTGAGGCTGAGGACTGGTCATGTTTCTGGGTACCAAGAGGGGGTGGGAAACAAGGTAGGATTC